ATGCATGTGTGTGTGTATTTTTGGTTTTTTGGAGGACAAGGACTCACTCTGTAGCCCCTGCTGTCCTTGGACTTCTGATGGCCCCTGCCTCCTGAGCCTTGGGATTATAGGTATGTGCCCCAAAGCCCAGCTGAAGAAAATTTTAAAAGTCAAAATTTGTTGTATGGTTGGGAAATGATCATTTTGGATCTGTGCTTTGAATCTTGAATGTAGGAGATATTCTGAGAAATAAATAGATCAAATAAGACAAGTTACTTATATTGCTAAAGACAAATGCGTAGAACACTCTTACACAGCCCTCTTTTCCAGAGAAGCTCGAAAGGCATGGAAGTCAGTTCCGAGGAGGAAGCTAGGTTTGCATCTGAGGAGAAATTAAAAACAGTGGTAGTTATTTTCCTTCATGTAGGGCTGGTATGAAGCCTTGGGTTTAGGAGAAATGGAGAAAAGACCTGGATTTTCTCTTCCTGTGCTTGCAAATGGACCAGGCAGCCATGTTGTCAAGAAACAGATGGCTGATGCTTTGAGAATTAAATATGGCAAGTAAAATTAGATTAAGCGTATCACAGCCTGGATTTCAGCCATCAGCACAGCTATTGAAGGCAAACTTCTGCCCCATCTGCTGGGACAGCAGCCAATTCCAGACTCATCCACCTCCACCCAGGGGCCCTAGAATTGGGGTTGTCCTGTATAGTCAGCTGAGAGGAGGCTGAGTACTTCCTGGACAATTGTTCCTCCCAGTTGGTGGTTAGTCCACTGGTACCTCTCAGCATCTCTATTTTACTCCCTTTTCATTCCACCTCCCACTCATTCCTCACTGGTTTCTTTTCCCATAGCAACAGGTTTAATTCTCACCTTTTCTAAACTTGTAGAATCATAAAATACTACTCAGAACACAAGAGACTATGAACCTTGGAGCATGATGGGATAGAAAGTTGGACCTAGGTTTGAGTTCCCACTCTACCATGTAGAGGTTGTATGAATCTGCACCTTCTCCTCCCCTCTCCCAAAGACTACTGGTGTAAGGGTAGAGAACATCACTGTCGTGCTTTGGGCTTTTGTCTTCAGCCTCATCCATTCCATGTGCCAAGGGTATGCCATACCATCCTTTGGCAAGTACTATATCCCTACCTGCAATGCCCTCTGCCTCCTGGCAGTTCACAGATTTCATCTCTATGTGACTCCAACCTTCACCTTGGAGCATGGGAATTTAGAAACCCAAGTTTGCCTCTTGGCTCTGCCACCAACTTAATTAATGTCACCTTCACGAAGCTATTTAACTTCATTAAAATAAATATTCTCATGTATAAAATGAAAATAATATTATTTAGCATATAGGCTATTGTAAAGATTAGTGTCAGTGTGCTTTAACAAATGCCCTAGACTTTTTAGGGCCCTAATAAATGGCAGTTTTAATTGTTACATATTTATTTAGTCCATTTGCCAATGAAGCCATTGGACATGAGCTGTGCTTCATGCCCAGCTCCCAGCACTAATTCATTAGTCAAACTCTCATGAAATATTAGTTACAAGTGGAGTCAAAAGCCAGCCTGTCAGTCTACAAATGAGGAAACTGGTCCTAGGGAAACAGCGGTCTCACTTATATTTAAAATAAAGCCAACATTCTGCTCTGAGGTGCTAGTCATTCCTATATGAACTATTAGTCGGACAGTTTCTAGATATTTATCAAGTGACATTTATGTGTTAGCCATTGCACATTGCTGGATGTCTAAACCTGGGTGTAGGTAGTGACCTAGAAATGCTTCCCTGAGAAGGAGCCCTTAAGCTGAAATCTGGGGCAGATGAAGACAAAAGCTTTACCACAAAGCCTTCCTGACTCTGGACTGTAATCTTCCAAGGGCCTGGTTGCTGCCTCTGCATTCAGCACTGTGGTGTTTTTCTCCTAGTATGTATACATTTCCTATTACTCTTTTTGTTTCTGATTTCTTAAATCTTCCTAGTAAAATAAGGAACACCAAATGTAGTCATTTATTTATCTTGCCTGCCTTGCATTTCTGTACAAGTGTTCCTAATTTCCTTTCCCAATCAGCCTTTAGTGCACACTGTTTGTGCTCTGTAGCCCCTTAAAGTTCACCTTTCCCTTGCTGCCAAAAGCTTTCTCCTGAACATAGTTGTAGCTGCACTTGAGGGCTTTCTCTAGGCAGGAATGCTAAGGGGTTAACATTGAGCCCAGAATTAATTAGCAACAGTGTGGACTCCTACTCTAGCACCCATGCCCTGAGGTGGGACAGCTCAGAGGCAGGCTCCTGATGGTCTCCGGGAATCACCTGAAGGTTTTAACCTGTTACCCATAGGCACAACCTGCTTATTAATATGCCCCTAGGTGGCTTCCCTCTTTTCCATGTCTGTCTTCTCCACTTTTCTAGCACTTCCTGTCAGCACTTGCCAGATAAACTCCTTGAAGTCAGACCCTCAGGATCTACCTCTGGAGATCTCAAGCTCAGATAAAGGGAGATAGAGAGCTTGGATAAATCCTTTGCAGGGCTTCTCCAAGCCCTTCTCTGACCTGGGGTTTTTGCCTGATAGTGAAGATTCAGCATTGAAAAGTTCATCACAGAAAGAAAATGTACAGATTTAATAGGTGAGTCCAGGCAAGAAAGTTTGCCTCTGTACTACATTATTTAAAATCTTTCCTCCTACATCATTTAATCTCCACACTAAACAGCTTTGCAAGATGAATGTTTATTTTCATTTCTACAGATAGAAAACAGACCTACAGAGACTAAGTTACTCAACTTCCACAGACTTGGGGGTAACATGGCTAGGATTCCAATGAAAGCGGAGTTCAGTTATTCCTCAGTAAGAGTAATTCTCAAACACTGGGGAGGCAGGCGCCTGGCTGGGATGGTCCTCATAGATCATAGTAAAATCTCAACTTCTGGCACTTGGGAGGTAGAGCAGGATGATCAGGAATTCAAGACCAGCCTCTGGCTACATAATAAGCTAAAGGTCAATGGGGTACCTGAGACCTTGTCTCAAAACATAAAGTAGGGGAAAAACAGAGGAGAGATACAAGGACAGGCCTTGACTGAGCAATGAGGAGGCCACTATTTTCCAGACTCTGACTACTTTTCTACTGCCATGCGCTACACAGCACTCTAGGCCCCCCTGTAGCCCTAGCATGTTGCTTGAAATGTCTGTCTGTCAAGGATCAGTGTGGGGCTGTGCTTTATATCCCTAGAACAAACCTTGGCATTGTAACATTTTTGGTAAATATATGAATGGGTCACACTTTAGTTCCTAGAGATACAAAGGATATGAAAACAATTCAGATTTTCCTTTGCAAGTCTTTGTAGACAAGGGAGTCCTAAACAGGTGAGTAAATGATGAAATCATGGTATATAAGTGACCTGTCCTCAGTCAGCCATGGGAGGCTTTCCTTAGGAGGGAGGCTTTAATAGCAACTTGATTTTAAATGAAGAGCATCTAGAGGGGGCACAGTTAGTAAGGGTCCTTGAGATGTGACCCAGAATGACTTATTGCAAGAATTACAGAAGGCTCCAATGGCTGGAGCACATTTCTAAGTAAGCAACAGATTAAAAAGTGAGTCCCAGCAGAAAAATATTGAACTTTGTGCTAAGCAATGTGGACACAGGCTGAGTGTTTGGTGGCTCTGCTGAAAGGTTTTGATTGAAAGACAAGCATGGCTGTCTTTAAATCCTGTCCAGGAATACTGCCAGGGACAGCAGCTGCCACGTGTGCCACGATCCTCAGTGCCCTACTCCATTGGGGCCTCTTCCTTTGCCCACAGTACTCACTTGATGTATGTGCTCTACAAACTCTGTAAATACCTGTTCTGTAAATATAGTCACTTTTTCAATCTTGGGGACAGGGAATAGATAGTCCTGGAATTAGATGGTTAGCTGGAGGTAGGCTTATGGAATAACTACCTAGAGACTACTTTCATAAGATTAAGAAAACCTGCATTCACCTTTCTCCCCCTCCAGTCTGATCTGAACAACAGCCACAATGATCTTTTAAAAACTTAAATGAAATTCAGACAAGTCTATGTTCACAATCCTACAGTACTTCTTTGTTGAATCAAAGCCAAAGGCCTTATCTCCATACCTCCCCAGGCCCCCTCTTCTCATAACGTTTTTCCACCACCACCCTCCCTTTCTCTGTTCTGTTCTTCTATCCCAGACTCCTTGCTGTTCCTCAAAACAAACATGCCTCATCCAGGGCTCAGAACACACCCCAGATACTGGGCTCACTTTTGTGTCAAGCCTTGACTCATTGGTCACTGCCCTCAGGACAGCCCCTGGCCACTGTGTTCAGACATAATGCCTATCCCTGAACTCACTACCTGACTGAATTGTTCTCTACAGCAGGCATCCTTTTCAACATAAGGCACTTGGTTTTTGTGTGATTGGCCCTTCCCCTAACTGGCATATTTGTGTATATATGGAATGAAACTATAATATTTATTTAGTCAGTCTTAATTTAGTCTGCTGTTCTTCCCTCAACACTTGAAATGATAACGTGGTTCCATAGTAGAGAACCTTTAAATACTTGTTGAATTAAGAAATGAGAACATCCTTTCAAAATTGCTCTTTTACATACTAGGAGTTTGTTGTGCTCTCTGTACACTTCAAAGAAGAGGGAGGGAGGATCATTTTCCATTTAAATAAGTCCACACCAGAGAAAAGAGCATCACATTATCTTGACTGGCAGGGGAGTTGGCTCTGTACTGCTGTTAATCAAGTTGTCCCTGCCAATGGTTGGACAGCTGGTGCCAAGGGAAATAACAATGAGCAAAGTGTTCTTGTTTCTCTCCTCTCACTTCAGAGAACGTGGGATGCTCACATCAGGGTATGTGAGACAGTGCATGGCACAAGAAAATAAATGCGAGGGCAAGGAATTCACTTAGGGTTAAACTCCCTTTAAGCTAAGTGTTGTGTGCCCTTTATGTACTTGGAGAGACTCAGTAGCTTTGACAAAGAAGAATGATGGAAAAATTTTTTTGTCTTGTCTCTACGAAGGTGTCTCGTGGGACTCCCTTCCAGATGAGCTGCTCCTCGGGATCTTTTCCTGCCTGTGCCTCCCTGAGCTGCTTAGAGTCTCCGGAGTTTGCAAGAGGTGGTACCGCCTCTCGTAAGTATTTTTCACCCCTTTGGATATATGGGGGGAAGGAAAGGAGCAAGATTATATATTCATTTTAGTCTGGTGAAACTGAAAACCAAGAAAAACATAACAGCCTCAAGCAAACAGTATATCATATTTTTATTAAAAATCATTGTCATTTCACAGTGTGAGGAAAGTCTCCTATAGGTATACATTTAGCCATTTCTGACGATCTCTTTGCTTTGTATTTAGTTTAGCATCTGCTTGCCAAGTCCACACCTTGTCTGAACCAGGCAGTGTTCTGGGAACAAGGGAGTTCTGGTGGGTCTGAAGACAGCCCAGTATTGGGGGCCAGACTTTGAGCACAGAGGAGAGGCTGCATGTCTCTGACCTTGGACAAGATATGAACCCAGCTTCTTTTACTTATGATCTCCATGACCTGAGCAGGTTACTGTCCCTGCATGTAAGAAAGGCATAATCGCACCTTCATTATGGAAGCATAATGGGAACAGCAGGAGTCTGGGGGAGCAGCAAGGTGACCAGAATAGAAGAACAGAGTTAGTGAGGGTGGTGGAGGGAAAATGAAATGAGAGGTGGACATGGAGATAAGTTAGGATAAACCATAAGGTGCTCTCAGAGCATGCTGAACAGTGGACATTGCTGGCACTCTTAGCTGTTTTTTAACAACACTTAAGGTACAGATGGTTCCCTGGTAAGGCAATAACAAGCATAAAACAAGAAAAGAATCATTTTTCTGGGGCTGGAGAGATAGCTCAGCAGTTAAGAGCACTGGCTGCTCTTGCAGAGGACCTGGGTTCAATTCCCAGCACCCACATGGCAGCTAACAACCATCCACCACTCCAGTTCCAGGGGATCTGATGCCGTCTTCTGACCTCTGAGGGTGACACAGGTACACTTACACACATGCAGGCAATACACTAATACACATAAAATAAAAATAATAAAAAAAATTTTAGTCATTTTTCTTTATATTTTTGTTCTCTGGTGTGCTATAGATTACACCAAATACCTCAGGCAGGAGGCAGGAGCTTTTATCACTGATCTAGTACCCCTCAAATGTCAAGACTGCTTTGTAATTGTTAGGGTTTCCCACCTCCATCATTTCCTGGTTCTTCTTTGCTTTGTGTTTGAAGACCATCTGGCTTCTCCCCTATCAAGCCCTCTGGAGCTTTGTGGGATAGCAGGAGCTTTCAGTGGTGTGTGGAAAGATAATACAGGTACTTGCAAAACTAGGCAGTTTGCTTAGGGGATGAAAGGTTTGGACACCTAGAATCCTGACACAAGCAGTGACTAAGCCTCACCCAAGGTACTTGTTATGGTTTTGTTTTACACCAGATGTGTGTTTGTCCACGTTTTACTCTAAGTATAGATGGCAAAATGGCTTCTATACTCAAGCAAATTAACATATCCATAATCTCACATTGTTATTTATTCACGGGCATGGAGAACACAGCTAAAATATGCTCTTGTAGCAAAAATTCCCAAATCCAGAAGTAATATTAGTCCATGTAGTACATTAGATCTTGAGACTTGTTTATTCTACGTAGCTGGCTATTTCATATCTTTGACCTACATCTTCCTTTAGTCCAATAATCTCCATCTTAATTGTGGTAGAGTAATAGTTGACATTTATTAAACACTAGATGAACACTAGGTGCTATGTTATCAAATTAATCTTTCACACAGTCCAAAGTGACAATTTTGTATTATCTCAGTGTAAGATGAAGAACCTAGAGGGTCAGAAACAGTAGTTTTTGAGGTAAAGAATAAAATAGGAATCTAAGATCTTGTTGATATCACAACTTAACCATTAGTAGTTACATTTGGTTCAGTTAGCTTCTAAATTCGTCTCCCTTTGCATGTTAACACTGGATGTTACTTAGAACAAGGGGAATGCTCCAAGACTTGACCTGGGTTGTCACAGAATGCCAGGCCAGCTGTTGTTTGCCTCTCTTTGCAAGGGGAGACACTGAGATTTGAGATAATCAGAGAATGATCTGGTATTGTTTTTCTGAGAAGTAGATTCCAGACTGAACAAGCGAAAGATGCAAAGCATGCCACTCTCTTAAGGATATCACATCTATAGTCCATCTTTTTAAGAATAGGGGGCCAATCATAAGCTGACAAATTTTGTATAACAAAATTATTTTAAAACTCTGGGCATGGTCGTACACGCCTTTAATTCCAGCAGAGGGAGGCAGATCAATGCCAACCTGGTCTTCTTAGCAAATTCCAGGCCAACTGGGATGACAGACAGACCCTGTCTCTAAAAAAAAGCAAAAACTCTGGCCATTGAGCACTTATTTTAAACACTATTAAAAGAAAATTCTAGTACACTGAAACATTTAGAATGTTCCCTCCTGTGCTTATACTTCATTTTCCCTTGCTTGCTTAATTGAAGTCAACTGTGGATATTAAAACTGCCTTGTAATGCTCAGTACATTTTTAGAGCCTTGGTTCTATTTTAGAAACACTGTATAATCTAATTTTTTCCCTTTTAACATTAATATATACACACTTATTTGTGTGAGTATAGAACAGAATTGATTACAACTTTCCCAGCCATCTGTGATCGCTGTATATCATAAGGTAGTGCTAACTTGTCTTCCTTCATTTATATTTTCATCATGAAACTTTTTGTCTCAAAAAAAAGAAAAAGAAAAAAAGAAATATTCAGTATCGTATTCCCAGCTTGAAACAAAAGTTCCTTTTGAATTCTTTAAGGAGGTTGAGTGGCCAGGCCTTCCTTGTTAGTAGTGACTTTGAGGGCCTCCAGTATTCACTGTGACCAACTTATGAAATCAAGCATTTCTCTTTTCTAGGCTTGATGAGTCTCTCTGGCAGTCCTTAGACCTCACAGGTAAAAATCTGCATCCAGATGTGACTGTGAGGCTACTGTCTCGAGGGGTGATTGCCTTCCGCTGCCCACGATCATTCATGGAGCAACCACTGGGTGAAACTTTCAGGTAACAAAAGAAAAATCCCTGGACATGGCTCTGAATGTTGAGGTGGAAACAGATTATACTCTTTTTTTTTTTTTCCTGTGTCCAGACTTAAGCCTGTAACAGGCCACCTGTATAGTGAGGGTTGTTAATTACATATCTTGCCTGGTGGCCTTTGGCTTGACACATGGCATGGGCTTCAGGGACACCATTTCCATATTAACTTAAATACTACTCAAAGATGTTCACTTAGATCATCTGAGGGTTTGATTCAGTGTTGGAGCACTTGCCTAGTGTGTTCATGACCGTGGGTTCATCCCCTGTTCCACAAAAGGAAAACTGTTCATTTAGCTTCTCACAATGAGTGCTCAGCATGTGGGGTTCCGAATCCCACAGGCAAGAGCTGTACAGGGTCGTCATCAGTAAACAAAGCCCACTGCCCATCTTTGATAAACAAAGTGGGAAGAGTATTTTCAGATTTGTGACAAGCATTCTGTCCTACCATGGACAGATTTGCAACCTGAAAAAAAATCCCTTCTTTTTGTTTTGTAGACTGTTTTGAAAAAATACTTCTCTGGTGCTGAGAATTATGGAATACTAAGGTTTCGTGCTATCTGATGCCTAAGAAGAATAGCTAGATACGGAAGAGCAAAGCAAGCTAAAGACAGTGGAGCATGTCTTCTCTCCTAGTATTTTCCCTTCTTGCCACTGTTCAAACCAGCTCTCCTGCTTTTGTTTACTCCTGTCACTGCTCCTCCTCAGCCTCTCCTCACATTTACTCCAAGATCCCCTCCTGACCCATGCAGCTATTCTCAGACAATCTGTGTCCTGTACACCCACTCTATGTTCATGATTCACAAATCCTTACCTGTACCCCAGTCCTCTCTCCAACTTCCATTTCTAATTACCTAAAACCTTCCACCCCTGAATTTCTTCTAAGTACCTCAATATTAGCATATCTAGAATTAAACTTGACCTCCCATTAAAACTGGTTCCTCCACTGTCCTCACTGTCTTAGTAAACACCACTGCTGCTCGCCTCTGCCAGCGACCAGGAGTCATCGCAGGCTTGCTCCCCTCCCTGGTCACGTGCATCCAGCTCATCTTCATGATGTCTTCTCGTTAATTTTCTGACTGGGATTATGGGCAGCAACACCTGCACTTAAAGAAATCCTCTTGGATTTTAAAAGTGAATGAGATGGGGATTAGCTAGTAGCAATTTGCTTTATGACCAGATCTATATCCGGTATGTGAAATGGGTATGTGGTCTTGTTTGTGATTGGTCGCTCATGTGGAGACAGGAGGGATCGGACTGGATCCAAATGTACTTGTGTGAGCCACCTTATGGGGCCTCTTTTCTCTCTTCTATATTCAGCTCTTTTCGTGTACAGCACATGGACCTGTCGAACTCAGTTATAAATGTGTCAAACCTCCATGGCATTCTGTCTCAGTGCTCCAAGTTGCAGAATCTAAGCCTGGAAGGCCTGCAGCTTTCGGATCCCATTGTCAAGTGAGTGGCAGCCAAAGCATGTGAGAAAGGAGGTTGTCAGATGTGGCAATTTTGTTTCCTTTACATGACTAGAGTGCTGTTCTGTATGTGTCCAGAAGGACACACAGAATAAATCTTGTGCAGCTCTCCAGCTTCCCCAAAAACTGTCCAGGGTATATGAAAACGACAGAAGTTTGAATACTGATCATATACGAGGTCCTATGCTAAGTGCAAGAAATAAAAAGGCTGTGCCTCTTCCACAGCATTGGTGAATATGTGGCAACACACAGGGAGGGCAGCCTTCTCAGAGGAAGTGACTCATAGGTTGACTGTTCAAGATATTCAGATAGGAGCTCTCCAAAGCCATAGGACACTGCTCTGCACTCTTAAGAAGCTGAAAGTTGCCTGAGCATGGACCTGGGGAGATGAGGAGTCTCAGAGGCTACATTATAGTGGGCTGGAGTGGAGTTTGCAAGAACCCCAGACTCTGGTAGGAGCGAGGAGGTGGTGAAGTCAAGTGTGCTGTGGTTCTGAAAATGGAAAAGCCATGTCAGAGTTGAAATGTATTAGTTCACTTGCCAGACACCACGTAGGGTTAGTCACATGCTAGAAACTACTAGTTAGGACACCGCTATGCTATTCAGATGGGAAAAGAATGATAGAACCTATGTGCCAGATACTGAGTTAAATATAATTATGATAATAAGTACCTTCAATTGGATGTGAAAACTGAGGCACAGAAAGGCTGAATAACTTGTCTGAGTTCACCTATTTTATGGGTACTAAACCAAGATTTGATTCCAGAATAATGAATCTTAATCATTAGATTTCTCTGAAAAGGGGATTTGGTATGCAACCGAGGGGAAGGAAGCCTTTTAACTTAAAATAAGATAGATCGGTGAATGTTTCTTGTACATTTACACTGCAGGTGCTGGGTGGCAGAATTCTTTATGACTTTTTTTTTTTTTTGGTTTTTTTGAGACAGGGTCTCCCTGTAGCCCCAGCTGTCCTGGAACTCACTATGTAGACCAGGCTGGCCTTGAA